ACGCTTTATAAGCAGAAATAAAAAAACACGACACAAATATTTTTCAAAGTTCTACATGTGTGCATAGTTTCAAAAAAATCGGCGTACGACATTTGGGCAGTGTTACTTGTAGGTACAACCCGGGGCCTTTTAACCGTTGTTACGTCGATGGATCCCCCAAAAACATGGCGGCGAATCGGAAACCAATAGATCAAAGGTGCCAACAGAGAGTGTCCTCCATACTGGTTATACTGTGGAACGAGATTCCCACTGTCCCTATCTACTATCTAGCCGCTAGTGATGTGCAATCGTATGATCGGCAACGAAACCATTGCCAAAGGAACGGGCTTGGAAAGATTAGCGGGGAAAGAAGACTCCGTTGAGGTTGACTGACTCTAGTCTGGCACTTGCCACTCTTGCCAGTGCTGTGGACATGCTGAGCCATAGAGATATAAGAATAGAGTGCGCGAGTCATATGCTAGCACGTAAGAGGCTGCGATATAGGAATAGAAAAAGAACGCTGCATATAGGCCCTTTCTGTCTTTGTCTACGCGTGCATGCGAAACAAAGACAGAAGGGGCCCATGCGCAGCTTTCTCTTTCTATTCTGCGCAGCTTTCTCTTTCTATTCCTATATCGCTTTTTCAGCTCGCTCGCGCACTCTATTCTTATATCTCTATATGCTGAGCACAGCGTGCGCTGTCGTGCTAGCACGCTTGGTTAGCGGGGTATCGCGTTTGTCACCTGTCGGTTTTTTATTTCAGTGATTGTACATACATAATATAAGAGAGAAGACTGACAATTAGTGACAATGTCGGAAGCACCGGCAGTTGGAATTGACCTGGGCACCACGTACTCGTGCGTGGGTGTCTTCCAGCACGGGAAGGTCGAGATCATCGCCAACGACCAGGGCAACCGGACCACGCCGAGCTATGTGGCCTTCACCGACACCGAGAGGCTGATCGGTGACGCGGCCAAGAATCAGGTCACTATGAACCCCAGCAACACCATCTTCGGTAAGTCGAGCTTTTGTTGTCACGTTTCGAGATACCGGCGATGCCGCTTGGCGCTTTTGCGCCGTATTGAAAGGTCCCGCCCCGATAAGACGCCGGATCTTTTGCGCCGTGTCTTTATTGATCAATTCGCCAACGTGTTGCTTCAATATTCAACTGGTGAAATATATCCAATGTTAAACAGATATCCCTTACACTGATTGCAGGAACGAGATGTATCGATTTAATTTCTTCGTAGATCCTTCAAGAAATGTGAAATTTTTTATGTTCAAATTTTTAAAAAGTCGATGCTGAAATACACGAGAATATTCGGATGATTAATAGCGAGATATAACTTGCTAGTATAATTTGGCGAGATACGCAATAATATCGTTAATATTTTGCGCTTTTCGAGGTAAATCTACGACGTTGCAAACCTCGTATTGATTTTTTTTTTTTTACCGAATTGTACGTTATTTTTAAATTATTGGACTTCGAGATCGATCGAACGTGGAACTTTCCGTGCTCGGAAGTCGAATTATCTCAATCACGTTTTGCTGCGTTTTACTTGCGCGGCGGTGACCTTGCCCGATACCACGGTGCATGCTTCTCTGTACATAATTTTCTCCTTCCCCGCTCCCGGCGATCCCACCCATTCTTTACATTGTAGCCGAGCGTTTTGACGTTTATACATCGCAGTTTTATGTAATCCTAATTTATGTGCCAGCTACGGTGTCACACAAATTTACGTTGAATCGTAAATCAAAGAGTAATTCACGCGATATATTCGTTCAAAGTCATATGCTTATTTAACTCTTCAGAATATATGAAATAAATATATATATATCTATACGAATATCAATGCACAATAAAGATAATAATTCAGATAACATAATTAAAAATATATAATAAAAATAAAAATACGTATATTTTTTATTATGTTTTAAAAATTTATATTATACGTATAACGTAAATTTTATAATGTGGTCTACATATATGATACGATTTTCTATTGTGTTCTGTATATGTGATAATTATTTTATGAATTTTTTCGATCTATTTTCACGATTATAATATAATTCGCGGTAGACTATTCCATAATTCTTTTTCTTACACAAAATTATCTTTGTACGAATTATATTGAAGTATTGGCAAGTGTTAAACATTTCTGTTTTTTGGCTCGGCGATAATTCAACATTCCGCAACCATCATCTCCGTCATTCGACACAATCCACAGGATCCTCCTCTTCTCTAATATCTCATCGCATCATATGCTTTAAGAGATAATTATTGAAGAAATAGACAACTTACGAATCTTTATCATTTTTCTATAAAGATGCGAAGCGTTTGATTGGTCGTCGTTTCGATGATGCGACGGTGCAGAGCGACATGAAGCACTGGCCGTTCACGGTGGTCAGCGATGGCGGCAAACCAAAGATCAAGGTATCCTACAAGGGCGAGATGAAGACCTTCTTCCCCGAGGAGGTGTCCTCCATGGTTCTGACAAAGATGAAGGAGACCGCGGAGGCGTACCTGGGCAAGACAATAACAAACGCCGTCATTACCGTGCCAGCTTATTTCAATGACTCTCAGAGGCGGGCGACAATGGACGCCGGCACTATCGCTGGCCTGTGCGTCCTCATGATAATAAACGAGCCTACGGCCGCTGCGATAGCCTACGGTCTCGATAAGAAGGGTGTGGGCGAGCAGAACGTCCTGATCTTCGACTTGGGCGGTGGTACCTTTGACGTGTCGATTCTGACGATCGAGGACGGCATCTTCAAGGTTAAATCCACCTCCGGCGACACGCATCTCGGCGGCGAAGACTTCGACAATCAAATGGTGACCCACTTCGTGCAGGAATTCAAGAGGAAGTACAAGAAGGACCTGAGACCCAACAAAAGGGCTCTGAGACGCTTGAGGATCGCCTGCGAGAGGGCAAAGAGAACGTTGAGCTCGTCAACGCAGGCGAGCATTGAGATCGACTTGTTGTTCGAGGGTATCGACTTCTACACTTCCATTACTAGGGCTAGGTTCGAAGAACTCTGCGCAGATATGTTCAGAAGCACCCTTGAGCCTGTAGAGAAGGCGCTCAGGGACGCGAAGATGGACAAAGCTCAAGTTCACAGCATTGTTCTAGTCGGTGGTTCTACTAGGATACCAAAGATTCAGAAGTTACTTCAAGATTTCTTCAACGGCAAGGAACTGAACAAGTCTATCAATCCGGACGAGGCTGTTGCCTATGGCGCGGCAGTTCAGGCGGCAATTCTGCATGGAGACAAGTCCGAGGAGGTCCAAGATCTGCTTTTGCTGGACGTGACTCCGTTGTCGTTGGGTATCGAGACCGCCGGTGGCGTCATGACTGCCTTGATCAAGAGGAATACAACAATACCAACGAAACAGACCCAGACGTTCAAGACCGCGGAAGCCTCGCAGCAGCAAGGAAGATCCGTGGGAGGCCAAGGCACGGGACCGAGCTCGGATCCCCGGGACGAGAACGCCGAATTCCATTTTCTTCCCGGTTTTTTACTTTGGACACATACAGACTATTCTATAGGCTCTTTACTTTCGAGACCTGCTGCCGGTGGCGTCATGACTGCTGTGATCAAGAGGAACACAACAATACCAACGAAACAGACCCAGACGTTCACCACGGACTCCGACAATCAACCGGGAGTGTTTTTCGAGGTTTACGAAGGAGAGAGAGCGATGACGAAAGATAACAACATTCTCGGCAAATTCGAGCTGACGGGTATACCTCCGGCGCCTGGGGGCGTACTGCAAATCGAAGTCACCTTCGATGTCGACGCTAATGGTAAGTTGTGATGCTCCAAACATTAATATTTTATA